AAATGGTATTAAAATTTAAAGGTACAAAGGGACGTTTCCCTCCCATCCCTGTTCTTCAGACCCCAGGTGTCTCCAACAAAGCAGACCCTTCTTACAAGTTCTAGCACCGTCCAGGAGGTGCTGGCATAACCATGCATACGTGTGCATGTGCGTTTGCATGGACAGCCTTAGAACTGGAGCAGTAGCGTCGGTGCCTTGCAGCACACTGAGTGCACACATCGGCACTTCCCACCAGCCTGAACGGTAACTTGGTGCGAGCACTCCCTGGTTTATTAGTCCCTGTTTGCGGACACTGGGTTGTGTCCACACATTTGCTGTCACCAGCAATGCAGCAATTTGTATCATTTCTGATTTCTTTGAACATAAATATGAGTATGTCTGTCTGCAGGAAAAGTTCTTTTGTTTGGTCAAAGGGTAAACACACTTAAGATTTTGTTGGGAACTGCCAGGTATTTCTCCCCATAGTTGGTACAACTTACATCCCACACCTCCACCCAGCAGTCTGTCAGCAAACACATGGGTCCTCACCAATCTGTTGATGGAAAGTCGTCTCTTGGCTACTCGGAGCAGTCGTAGTGTGCATGTCTCCTAGCAAGCTCCATGCCAAACACGTCTGTACATGACTCCACCCCGTCTGTACTTCGTTTTCCTATCTTTTCATCTCTCTTCCCCACTTCTCTATTACGTTGTTGGCCTCTTTCTGATGGACATGTCAGAGCTCTAGATAAGTAAGTTAAGACAGCCAGCTCTTTGTCATGCATGGCAAATGTGTTACTCAGGTTGTCAGTTCTTTGACTTTGGCCATTGTTTTGGAGACCAAACAGAATTTTTGTAATATGTAAAAAATTGATGGCCTAGGTTTTATTCCATAGTTTCAAATTTTTCCTTCCCAAGGTTACCAAATGTTTTCTTTCAGAGCGTGTGTGTGTGTGTGCGTGTGTGTGTGTAGTATAAAGAAGAAATTTGAACTTTATTGATCTCCCAGATGATAGCCAGCCTCTCTGACATCGGCTCAGCAGGCCATCTTTTCTGCCGTGATGGCTTATAATAATAGTTCCCATTGTGAAACTGCACTGGGCCCAGAATCCATCCAGAGGAGTCTGGTGGGCTGTCCTGTGAGGGGCCACATGGCCTGCAGTCCTGTCCTATATGTGTCCAGGACACAGGACCAGAGCACAGAGAGCTTGGTGGGGGTAGGGGGAGGGCATCTTTCACAAGCCTGGGCACAGAGCCGCCCCAACTGCTTGCAAATTCCCTGTGAGCACATAGCCACCAGGCACTGGAACCCGAGTCTTGCCACACATTTGCAGAAGGTCCTATTAGTTCGACTTTCCCAGAGGCCACCTCCCTCTGCCACCTCCAAGATAGCTGCTTCTGTGGGTACCAGGCAGTAGCCAGCCAGTCAGTGGCTCAGCCTGCCCCACAGTCCACAGGAGAGAAACATGGTGCTCACAGTAAGAGCATTGCTGTGTGAAGCTGGCAGTGGATCGGGAGAGCACTCCCTGTGAGAAGCTATGTGGGGGCCTCTTCCTGTGAGATGCTGTGGGAGGACCTCTTCCTGTGAGACACTGTGGGGGGGCCTCTTCCTGTGAGACGCTGTGGGGGCCTCTTCCTGTGAGATGCTGTATGAGGGCCTCTTCCTGTGAGACGCAGTGGGGGGACCTCTTCCTGTGAGACGCAGTGGGGGGACCTCTTCCTGTGAGACGCTGTGAGGGGCCTCTTCCTGTGAGACGCTGTGAGGGGCCTCTTCCTGTGAGACGCTGTGAGGGGCCTCTTCCTGTGAGACGCTGTGAGGGGCCTCTTCCTGTGAGACGCTGTGAGGGGCCTCTTCCTGTGAGACGCTGTGAGGGGCCTCTTCCTGTGAGACGCTGTGAGGGGCCTCTTCCTGTGAGACGCTGTGAGGGGCCTCTTCCTGTGAGACGCTGTGAGGGGCCTCTTCCTGTGAGACGCTGTGAGGGGCCTCTTCCTGTGAGACGCTGTGAGGGGCCTCTTCCTGTGAGACGCTGTGAGGGGCCTCTTCCTGTGAGACGCTGTGAGGGGCCTCTTCCTGTGAGACGCTGTGAGGGGCCTCTTCCTGTGAGACGCTGTGAGGGGCCTCTTCCTGTGAGACGCTGTGAGGGGCCTCTTCCTGTGAGACGCTGTGAGGGGCCTCTTCCTGTGAGACGCTGTGAGGGGCCTCTTCCTGTGAGACGCTGTGAGGGGCCTCTTCCTGTGAGACGCTGTGAGGGGCCTCTTCCTGTGAGACGCTGTGAGGGGCCTCTTCCTGTGAGACGCTGTGAGGGGCCTCTTCCTGTGAGACGCTGTGAGGGGCCTCTTCCTGTGAGACGCTGTGAGGGGCCTCTTCCTGTGAGACGCTGTGAGGGGCCTCTTCCTGTGAGACGCTGTGAGGGGCCTCTTCCTGTGAGACGCTGTGAGGGGCCTCTTCCTGTGAGACGCTGTGAGGGGCCTCTTCCTGTGAGACGCTGTGAGGGGCCTCTTCCTGTGAGACGCTGTGAGGGGCCTCTTCCTGTGAGACGCTGTGAGGGGCCTCTTCCTGTGAGACGCTGTGAGGGGCCTCTTCCTGTGAGACGCTGTGAGGGGCCTCTTCCTGTGAGACGCTGTGAGGGGCCTCTTCCTGTGAGACGCTGTGAGGGGCCTCTTCCTGTGAGACGCTGTGAGGGGCCTCTTCCTGTGAGACGCTGTGAGGGGCCTCTTCCTGTGAGACGCTGTGAGGGGCCTCTTCCTGTGAGACGCTGTGAGGGGCCTCTTCCTGTGAGACGCTGTGAGGGGCCTCTTCCTGTGAGACGCTGTGAGGGGCCTCTTCCTGTGAGACGCTGTGAGGGGCCTCTTCCTGTGAGACGCTGTGGGGGCCTCTTCCTGTGTGATGCTGTGGTGAGGGCACTTCCTGTGAGACGCTGTGGGGGGGCCTCTTCCTGTTTGATTCTGTCCGGTGGTCTCTTTTGCACTTTCCGCAGCAGGCCACGTGTTTGCTGTGCGCACTTGTTTTTTCTCACTGCCTCAGCCTGCGCTTGTCGGTGCATAGTTAGCCTTTGCCATTGTGTTTTATCTTTCATTCACGAGGGTGGCACTACTGAGGCCAGGTGCCCTCAGGTGTTTTCCACACTGCTCTGCACCCTGGGGAGCCACAACATGGTTTGAAGGAGAAAGGCTGGTCCCTGGGGCAGCACTAGTGCAGACCTGGCTTCTGCAGGACATGGGTGGGGAAGGCTTGTGGCCTCGCTGAGGGCATGAGGATCCTCCAGGTGGCCCATCGCTCGTCCTCTGAGGTGTCCTTGTCTGTAGAAAAGGTCGTGATAAGCACCTCCTGTTCCAGCTTTACGATGAGGCTTTGTGATGTTATTTCTAAGCCAGCACTCAGCCATGTTTATGTTAAAAAGCTGGAGCTCATCCTCGATGCACTAAGCTCTTGCTCTAAGCGGTGGCAGTGGATGTGGGAGGGTGAACTGCTTGTGGCAGCTGGGGACAGTTTATTTTTTGCTTGTCAAGAACAATAAAATGTAACTGAGGCCCCAAAAGATTTTTCTCACTTCCTAAAATTTCTAAAGCAAAAGGACTGTTCGTAATCATTTTGCCTGAAGAAAAAGAAACATTCATGCCTGAAGATGTTACATTTTTGATGGGAAGAAAGGGCTTCTGAAGTTTGAGAATTTTGTTTTTCAAAGAATATATCAATAGGATTTCCTGAAGAGAAAGTTTGAAAGTACTGCAGATCAGATTGATGAACCCTAGGAATTTATAAAAAGCTTTGTATTTTGGCCGCTGAGTTAGAGCGAAGGGCTCGTTTTCCATGGATCCGTGTTGGCTTCTCAGTCATGAATGCGGATTTAGGGAAGCGGCAGGGGTGGTGCCCGGCTTTCCTGTTTCTCTGTGTCTCTGTACACAGCCAGCTCCCGGCCCACACCGCCCGCCATCCCCAGCTCCGACCTCTGCCTCAGCTCCTGCCCTCACAGCTCAGCTCTTCCCTCACCTCCACGTCACCGTGACCTGCCCCTGGCCCGGGGCTTCCAGGCCCTGGCTTACACTTCACCTGATGATCTTCACTGCTTCTAGGTTCTTCTCATGGATGGAGGGGGAGTGGTATGTGGGATTCCAGGTCCTTCTCCAGAGATTGTGGAGAGCACGGTGCCCACTAAGTGCTGCCCACCGCCTCTCTGCTCTTCTTGGTGGGTGGCCTGGCCTCCCATTGCTCTTTCTGAAAGGCCAGGGCTGTCCAGCCCTCGGGGATGACAGGTCAGTTCCAGGGAGAAGATGAGGACTAACGCATCTGCCCTCCCACCCCCAGCACATCCTGGAGCTGGAAGCCATGCTGTACGACGCCCTGCAGCAGGAGGCAGGGGCCAAAGTAGCCCAGCTGCTGTCAGAGGAGGAGCGCGAGAAGCTCAAGGTGGCCGTGGAGCAGTGGAAGCGCCAGGTCATGAGTGAGCTGCGTGAGCGGGATGCCCAGATCCTGCGGGAGCGCATGGAGCTTCTGCAGCTGGCACAGCAGGTGCATGGGCAGGGAAGGGCCAGTGGAGTGGTGGGGACTAAGACCTGGCAGGATGGCCTAGGCAGTATCTCATGGCTGAGCCTTCCATCAGTCATATCCACCAACAGCCACATCATCCAACAGCCACTTCATCCAACAGCCATGCCCTCCAATGGCCACACCTCCAATGGTCACATGCTCCAATGGCCACACCCTCCAATAGTCACTCCCTCCAATGGCCACACCTCCAATAGCCACAGTGCCAATGGTCACACCTCCAATGGCCACACCCTCCAATAGTCACACCCTCCAATGGTCACACCCTCCAGTGGACACACCTCCAATGGACACACCTCCAATGGACACACCCTCCAATGGTCACACCTCCAATGGACACACCCTCCATTGGTCACACCTCCAATGGACACACCCTCCAATGGTCACACCCTCCAATGGACACACCTCCAATGGACACACCCTCCAATGGTCACACCTCCCATGGACACACCTCCAATGGACACACCCTCCAATAGTCACACCCTCCAATGGTCACACCTCCAATGGTCACACCCTCCAATGGACACACCTCCAATGGTCACACCCTCCAATGGTCACACCTCCAATGGTCACATGCTCCAATGGTCACATGCTCCGATGGCCACACCCTCCAATAGCCACACCCTCCAATGGTCACACCCTCCAGTGGACACACCTCCAATGGACACACCTCCAATGGACACACCCTCCAATAGTCACACCCTCCAATGGTCACACCTCCAATGGTCACACCCTCCAATGGACACACCTCCAATGGTCACACCCTCCAATGGTCACACCTCCAATGGTCACACCCTCCAATGGTCACACCTCCAATGGTCACACCCTCCAATGGTCACACCTCCAATGGTCACACCCTCCAATGGTCACACCTCCAATGGTCACACCCTCCAATGGTCACACCTCCAATGGTCACACCCTCCAATGGTCACACCTCCAATGGTCACACCCTCCAATGGTCACACCTCCAATGGTCACACCCTCCAATGGTCACACCTCCAATGGTCACACCCTCCAATGGTCACACCTCCAATGGTCACACCCTCCAATGGTCACACCTCCAATGGTCACATGCTCCAATGGTCACATGCTCCGATGGCCACACCCTCCAATAGCCACACCCTCCAATGGTCACACCCTCCAGTGGACACACCTCCAATGGACACACCTCCAATGGACACACCCTCCAATAGTCACACCCTCCAATGGTCACACCTCCAATGGTCACACCCTCCAATGGGCACACCTCCAATTGTCACACCCTCCAATGGTCACACCTCCAATGGTCACATGCTCCAATGGTCACATGCTCCGATGGCCACACCCTCCAATAGCCACACCCTCCAATGGTCACACCCTCCAGTGGACACACCTCCAATGGACACACCTCCAATGGACACACCCTCCAATAGTCACACCCTCCAATGGTCACACCTCCAATGGTCACACCCTCCAATGGACACACCCTCCAATGGTCACACCTCCAATGGACACACCTCCAATGGACACACCCTCCAATAGTCACACCCTCCAATGGTCACACCTCCAATGGGCACACCCTCCAATGGGCACACCCTCCAATAGCCACACCTCCAATGGACACCCCTCCAATGGACACACCTCCAATGGACACACCCTCCATTGGTCACACCTCCAATGGACACACCCTCCAATGGTCACACCCTCCAATGGACACACCTCCAATGGACACACCCTCCAATGGTCACACCCTCCGATGGACGTACCTCTAATGGTCACACCCTCAAATGGTCACACCTCCAATGGGCACACCCTGCAATGGGCACACCTCCAATAGGCACACCCTCCAATGGACACACCTCCAATGGTCACACCCTCAAATGGTCACACCTCCAATGGGCACACCCTGCAATGGGCACACCTCCAATAGGCACACCCTCCAATGGACACACCTCCAATGGACACACCCTCCAATGGTCACACCTCCAATAGCCACACCTCCAATGGTCACACCCTCCAATGGTCACACCTCCAATGGTCACACCCTCCAATGGACACACCTCCAATGGTCACACCCTCCAATGGTCACACCTCCAATGGTCACACCCTCAAATGGTCACACCTCCAATGGGCACACCCTCCAATGGACACACCTCCAATGGTCACACCCTCCAATGGACACACCTCCAATGGCCATGCTCTATGGCCCAGCCCTCCTGCCAGACTGCCCCATCACACTAGCCTTTGAGGTGAGTTGTTGAGGCCTCTGGGTGGCAATTCCCCTCTTTTGGACCCCTGGCTGCTGGGTCTCCTCCATGACACCATCCTCTGATGTTAAGGGCATTGTCTGGCCACAGCAGCTGCTGTATTTCTCTTGGCATCAGGGGCCTGCTGGGATCTCAGGCCCATTGGGTCAGTTCAGTTCTAATGGGAGGTGAGGAACCTTGTTAGACTGGGCAGCCCTGATGTGTACAACATGCTCTTCTGCATGTGCTGGGTTGGGCTGATGGTGGCTTTTATGAATATGTTCCATGTTAAGAACACCCCAAATGCAAAAGTTGCAGCTTGCAAATTCAGATGAACTAGTGCACCGTATGCTAGTGTACCGGGACCCTTAGTGGCTAATGCCGGGCAGAGGGTTGGTCAGCTACCAGGGGATGGGTCAGCTACGAGGACAGTCGCTGCTAGCCCCTTTACTTGTCATTCTCCCCAGCAGCCCTTGTGGGCTCCAGCAGCAGTCAGGAGGAGGCCGGTCACCTGCAGCCCCCCTTGGTCCCATCAGATGGGCTGTGGCCAGAGCTCAGCTGCTTCCAGGCCCCAGGCACAGGTGTCACCCTTGCTAGGAAAGTCCGAGTGACTGGCTTTGAGCCCTGTGGCTGCTCCTTGCACTGTTGTAAGAACATTTGGGGACTGTGGATTAATCCCTTTCTGTCTCCTTGGGTGTCTGGCATTATGATTTATGACCGGAAGCTGCAGGAGATGGAAGGCCATTTCTCCCACCAGGGAAGTGTGGCGGTGGGGAAGGCCCTCGGCTCCCTATTGGAGCGAAGCAGCAAACTGAGAACAGCTGTGTCTGTGTTGCTAGCCGCAGGCCACCAGGGCGTGGAGCGGCACGCCAGCTGCTCTGTGACCACACACGAGTGAAAATCTTGAAAGACTTTTTTACACGTAGTTTCCCAAATGCTCTGATTATTCAAGATTTTCCTCCTTTTAACATTACAGAGAATTAAAGAATTAGAAGAAAGAATAGAAGCTCAGAAGAGACAAATAAAAGAACTGGAGGAAAAGGTAAAATGAACGCAATTTGGGGGCTTGTCTTGCTAACGGAGCTTATAGATGGAGGTGAACAGGAGATGTCACTCAGCACGCGGTCTCTGGGGAGGAAATAGACCTAGAGTGTAATAGTCACAGGAGGCGCCCCACCTGGAATTCAGGGTAGAGTTGGGCAGAATGAGGTTTTAGGTAGCTGCAAGGGCTCTGGCCCAGGAGGCAAGAGCCCCGGGTCTAGGAAGCCCTGCTCCAACGACCCAGCTGTGCCACCCCAAAGGAGCCAGTCAGTTTCCCCATCTGAGGCTGTGTGACCCGTGACGTGGGCTCCCTTTCAGTGCAATGTCCTGGGCTTGCTAAAGCCTTTGATCCCTCCCAGTCCACCAGTTGTGTTGGTCTAAAAATCAGTTTTCTGAAAGACAGGCTGTGGGTTTCCCCTTGACAGCAACATGAGTCTTTTCTCTTCCGGGCCTTAAACAACCGCGCCAGGCTCCGAAACTCCGGGTGCCGGAGCGCAGTTAGGTTGGGGCTGCCCAGGAAGGCTTGTCTGCTCCTTTTTCTGGATCTCCACGCCTCGCAGAGCCACTGACTCAGCTCTCCCCAACTCAAGGTGAAGGGAGCACACCCAGAGAGACCCCTGACCAGGGAGTTCTGCTGCCTTGCAGAGCAGTTCTTGACTGGTTCTGCCTGTGGGTGAATCTCACCAAAGTGACAGGCTCCAACTGAGCGCCAAGTGAAGCAGCCAGGGGGCCCGCCTTGCTGTCTCATCCGTTCAGGAGAGAATAGGAGGGTGGGGTTGACTAGGACCCCCCTACGGTCAGCATGTTCTTGGCCCAGCCCGAGGAAGAGCCTGCAGACATTGTGTGTGCCCCAGGAGAGATGGGGCCCTCTGGACACCAGTCACTTTATACCTGCTCTGGTTGTGCTTTTTTGCTTTGAATGGAACTGGGAACAAGATATTGCCACAGGAGCATTCATGGCTGCTGGCATTTGGAAGGGCTTCCCACAAGACTTTCATCAGCATTAGTAGCCAATTAGTGCTCTCGACATAATCCCCTGTGACAGGTGGTGGTGGGTCCCCACTCATGGGGAGGGGAACTGAGCCCCCGAGAGGCTCACTGGGCATGTAGCGCCCAACTCGTGCCCACATCCGGGCTCTGGACGGTGCGAGGTCCCCTGAGCGCCTCCCTGGGGGTCGCAGCACCATCAGCTCAGACCCAGGGACTCCCCACAGAGTCCAGCCGAGCTCGGTCTTGTTCTGTGTGTAGTCGCACAGTATTCCTGCCAGACGCACTACAAACTCTTTCTTCTCTCTCTTTCCTTCCGTTTCTCCATCCTCCCCTCTCCTTTTCAGTTTTTATTTTTGTTCTTATTTTTCTCCTTAGCTTTCATTCTCTGGTCATAGTTCGTCTTGGCAGCCTGACATGGTGAGTATTTCATTGACTGGTGTCCTCTGGCGAGGGTCCCACGTGCAGGCCAGGAAGCTGCCTGTCGGCTCTTTGATAAACAGGAAGGCTAGACCCAGGGCTTCAAAAGACTTTTTAAAAAGCTACCAGGTGCCCTTCAGAAACCAGACACCCCTCTGGGGTCAGGATTCAGAGAGAGGGCATCACCGTCGGAGGTTGCAAGGCACGCCTGCCTTTCTCGAGAACGAGGGGAGAGAGTCCCCCGTGGCTCCTGGCAGGAAGCAGAGCTGGCAGCACACGGTCGTTTCATGTTTCATGATTTTCTTTGTCCTTT